TTTAATATTTATTTTTTAGTTCTCGGCGGACACAACATCTTTGTTGGTATGTGGTGCTGAGGATCCAACCCGGGCCRSACGCATGCCAGGCGAGCGYGCTACCAATTGAGCCACATCTCCAGCCCTCTGATCTGGTTTTGCTGATTTGAATCAARTTTATGGGAACTTGACATAACTAATCTCTATGATAATTTACTATAACTATTTTTTGTTGAATTTGTAGAGCCCAAACAGCTTCCTAGAACTGTAAGAATGGCAAAAGCTGTTCATACAAATGACTGAACATTTAGCTTAAGTTTATTCATTTGTAAATTCAACAAATAGCTCCTGAGTGTCTATAATGTACCAAGTCCCAGGCTAGGTTCTTGGACATTAGTGAATCAGACTCAGTCCCTGTTGTGAGTGAGATGTACAGTGAACAGTGAGTGAAAAGTGTTTGGGAAAGTTCTAGGCATAGTATTCTGTCCATGAAATACACCAAGAAATTTCATTAACAAGATGGAACTGTCTATTGAATTCAACAAAGAACATTTGCCATATTTAAATATATATATATTTTTTTGTGCTAAGGCTTAAACCAAGGGCCTTGTGCTTGCTAAACACAAATGCTACCACTGAGCTACACCCATATTTGCAGTGATTTTTATTTATTTATTTATTTATTTATTTATTTATTTTTGGTGCTGGGGATTTAACCCAGAGGTGCTTTACCACTGAGCTATATCCCCAGACCTTTATATTTCTTGTTTCAAGACAGGCTCTTACTCAGTCGCTGAGGGCCTTGCTAAGTTGCTGAGGCTGACTTCAAACTTGAGATCTTCCTGTCTCAGGCTYCCAAGACACTGGATTACAAGTGTATACCATCATGTCCTGTGTTTACAGTAAATTTTTAGAGATGCTGGAAGCTCCCTAGAACATAGCTGTATGTATTTTGGTCTTTTATAGGGACAGGTGATGAAAAACAAGTGCTCTACCACTGAGCACATCAACCAGCCTATAATTCTTAATTAAAGTACAGTGGAAAATAAATGATATCATATTTAGTATATCCTGTACCACGAGGATTAGGGAAAGGATCTCTGAGAAAGTGATATTTACTGAAACCTGAAAGCAAATGCCATTAATGTACAAAGAGAAAGGAGAGAATATTTTCCCATACTCTACTTCGSTGGCACTGTGCACCTTTTAATTGGAATTGATGTGATTTCATTCTTTACTTCACTTTGAGAGGTCAGAGACCAAATATATGTGTCAACGGAAACCCTGGATCCCTAGGACCTAGCACACAGTATAACTTCCCAATCATTGCATAATTTTTTGAAAGGAAACTCAAATATGTAGCATCTGCCAGCAGAATAATTATAGCCTCTCAGGAGCAACAATTCTGTTTAAAACTATATGCACAAAAATCTGATGAAGAATAAGAAAATATTTACCTGTCATAAATCTTGGCAATTCTCAGTTCTCCTCTTCCTTTGCGCAAACTTATTCTTGTTGTTGAAGCATGAGCCAGAATGTGTCCCCCAATGGGTTTTTTTGGGTCTGCCTGAAAGCTGAATTAATAAAACCTCTATTCAGTCTTCATGACATGAACTATACACATGAGTATTTGCAATTACAAGGCCACCTGTCTGTGGAGTGTGGTAGGAGATGGAGTAGATGTGTATTCTAAACAAGTAGAGGCCTGTTCATAAACAGTGCTGTGTGGCGGGGGTGGAGCTACTATCTACCCTATTACCATCTAGTTCAGATTCCTGAGATTCTTATGACAAATAGCTCATGTTTTGTTTGACTTTTTAAGAAGAAAATACTATTGAAAAATCACAAATAAAATATTATTCACTGTCAGGATAAACTTGAGATTAAGAAATTTTATTCTTTACAAAATACAAAGACTGTATTTATTTATCCCTTTATTTATGAAAAATATTTCTTAATGGCCCATTAAGTGTCAGGCACTATTCTAGTATAATGGACAAGAACTACCCAAGCTGTCTCTGTTAAGCTGTGTACGTGAAAGCAGATTGAGAACCTCTTTTGTTCAATAACTGTGTGATGGAACCCTTCAGTGCTGTGCTGGTCATGCATTTGAGAATGATGTTTGGAGTATCTTTTGTCTTTATTATTGTTGCCTAAAGTTTATTTCTCTAAATAAGGATATTTAAGAAATAAGCTCTATGATTCAAGAATTCAAAAAACATTATAATGAAGGAAGTTATAAATACCATTGTACTCATCTTGAGAAACATAATCATAAGGGACTATTACATGGCAGGAAATGAGTTTCTTTTTTTTTTTTTTTAAGAGAGAGTGAGAGAGGAGAGAGTGAGAGAGAGAGAGAGAGAGAGAGAGAGAGAGAGAGAATGAGAGAGAATTTTTAATATTTATTTTTTAGGGCTGGGGATGTGGCTCAAGCGGTAGCATGCTCACCTGGCATGCATGCGGCCCAGGTTCGATCCTCAGCACCACATACAAAGATGTTGTGTCCGCCGAGAACTAAAAAATAAATATTAAAAAAAAATTCTCTCTCTCTCTCCCACTCTCTCTTTAAAAAAAAAAAAAAAAATATATATATATATATATATATATATATATTTATTTATTTATTTATTTATTTTTTAGTTCTCGGCGGACACAACATCTTTGTTGGTATGTGGTGCTGAGGATCGAGCGCACTACCGCTTGAGCCACATCCCCAGCCCCGGAAATGAGTTTCTTAATGACTCTAATGGTAAATCTTTTTAAAAAGCCTAGTTGCAAAAATCCTCAACAAAGTACTAGCAAATTGGATCCAGCAGTATATCAAAAGGAGTATACACCATGATAATGCAGAATATATCCCAGGAATGCAAGGATGGTTCAACACAAGTAATTACTAATTCATCATATTACTAAAATGTGGAGGGGGCAGAAACTAATATGATCAGCTCAACTGCTGCAGAAGAAAACCTAGAAATCATTAATAAAGAGAACTGAGTGTAAACTAACTAGCTATACTTGATCAAAATAAACTATGATTAAAATAGTATAATAGCTTTAGCTCTGGGAAAATGTAGTTTTAAGTTAACTCAAATTGTGCTTGCTCCATGATGTTCAAGATTCTTGTTACTCTAAGCTTGAGGCTTGGTGTAGTGAGAATGTGGCTGATTGGCATGAGGTTAAATATGTAGGTTGTAGGTTGGTGGAAGAAGAAGTTCTTGGGTAAAGGAGTCTGCTGACATAAACTACTGTTTGATTAAATGGCTCAGAGGTTAAGACCAGAAAATTCCTGGCTGGGATGGATGAAATTGGTTAAGATTCATCAAATATAAAATATGAACAAGAACAGTTAATTTTAAGTGAAACACTATCAAGAAAGTAAATTCAGGGACTGGGGTTGTGTTTCAATGGTAGAGTGCTTACATAGCACTTTGGGGCACTGGGTTTGATCCTCAGAACTGCATATAAACAAACAAACAAACAAATAAGGGTATTGTGTTCATCTACAACTAAAAATATTTTTAAAAAATAAAGAAAAGAAGGGGCTGAGGTTGTGGCTCATTGGTAGAGCGCTTGCCTTGCACATGTGAGGCACTGGGTTTGATCCTCAGCACCACATAAAATAAATAAATAACTAAAACAAAGGTACTGTGTCCATGTTCAACTAAAAAATTTTTAAAAAAATAAAGAAAGAAAGAAAAGAAAGCAAAGCCAGGCAGTGAGGAATCAGAAGGCTGGGCTGCTTTTCCAGCAGCTGCAGGTTCATGAAAGCAATCAAGTATCACAGGAGGATGAAAGAAATGAGGAAGTGGGTTGTCTCCATAATGCTTACAGATCGATGTCACTTTTTTTAGTGGAGTGGCTCTCAACTTTCTGGGTCACTCCTTCCTGTGGGTGGTTCTTCATGGTCTTAAAAGAACCCTGCAAGAGCTGGGGTTGTAGCTTAGTGATGGAGCGCTTGCCTCCTACATGTGAGACACTGGGTTCCATTCTCAGTACCACATAAAAATAAATAAATAAAATAAAGGTATTATGTCCACCTACAAGTAAAAAAAATCAATCCCAGCAGCTTGGGAGGCTGAGTCAGGAGAATCGCAAGTTCAAAGCCAGCCTCAGCAATGGCAAGGTGCTCAGCAACTCAGTGAGACCCTGTCTCTCAATAAAATACAAAATGGGCTGGGGATGTGGCTTAGTGTTGAGTGTCCCTGAGTTCACTCTCTGGTACCAAAAAAAAAAAGAGAGAGAGAGAGAAAGAAATAGAGCCTGTGTTCTAAAAAGATGGGCTGTTTTAGGCCCTGATGGTATTCTCAGCTGGGCTCTGGACACTGAACCTGCAAACAATATAATGATTTATGCTTCTGTAATGCACTGTTCATATTCTGTTTTTAGTACTGTTATTCACTTACTTCTTATATTCCTTCTTGCTCCCTCTCTTACTGTCTATCACTAAGTTTCTTAAGAGCAAACCACATTGCATTTAGTGTGTTAGCAACCAGCTACAAGGTTGGTGCTCACAAATGTTTTCTGAGCCTAAGATATCAAATCTTCAGAAATTCTAAGAATATTTGACTTCAGAAAGAATTAGTGCTTTCACAGTAAATAGATAAAAATAAAATTTAGACCAGTTAGAAAGTTCCATTTGAGGAGACAAGAGAAAATAGTCAGGGTTAGGGTTAGCTAAAAGGGCAAATGGGGAGAAAGAGGTCTTTATTTAATTAATTAATTTGTTTGTTTGTTTTTTTGGGGGTACTGGGGATTGAACTCAGGAGTACTTTACCATTGAACTACATCCCCAGCCCTTTTTATTTTTTATTTTGAGACAGCGTCTTGCTAAGTTGCTGAGGCTGGCCTCAAAATAAATGGCTTTCCTCCTGCCTCAGCTTCCTAAGTTGCAACAGCTGTTATTGCTTCTCACAGGCTGTCTCAATACTACTCAGTGATTCTCCTCCATGGTTAGTTTCACTTCTCTTTCCACAGTTATCTCCTTAAGCCCCCTTTTCATTCTTATCCCTTCACCTAGGATGACACTGCCTGCTACTTCATAAAGAAAACAAAGGCCCTCGGAGGGAAGCTCCCTCAACTTCCTCTTCTTTCTACTCACTGTGAGAAATAGAAAGTGGTGGACCAATTTCAGAATACGGTTTTTAGCCTTAAATATAAAATTACTGAGGATATAAGAAAATAAGTGTAAGAAGAAATAGAACAAATGGTTACCAGCAGTTAGCATCTGATTGTGACAGATTCACAGCCCCTTGACTACAGGAGGGGAGGGGAAAGGGCCTTCCTGACCAACAAAGATAAAYGTCATACATGCCAAAATGCACTCAATCCCAGAAAGGCCTTCCCACCACAAGAGAACAAAATAGGTTGGAATAACTAAAGATATATTTCTTTAAATAACCTAGGCAAGGTTTGGGAAGATTGTGCATCCCATAGTACTCAGCCAATGAGGACCTGGTAGGGGTATTGTGCTTTAGGGGATAAAATACTGATTGTAACAACTCTGGGTGTAACAATCTTCCAAGACCGTCATTAAATTAAAGCCTCACTTTCTCCTTTCCTTTGTCCCTCAGTCCATTCTTTGAGTTGGACATGTGAGTGTGTTTCTCACACCCATCACTGCTATAAGTTGAATCTTAAATGTCTCTCAGAGACCCATATGTTAATAAGGGATTGATCCCCAAAGTGGCATCATTGGGAGGTTGTGAAGCCTTTAAGAGGTGGGGCATAGTCAGAGGATTTGGGTTCCTGGGGGCATGCCTTTGAAAGCAAACATAAGATTCTGGTTTCTTCCTTTTTCTCATTTTCTTTCTAGTGATAAGGTGTGGTTTTGCTTTGCCGTAAATTCCCTGCCATTGACATCTGACATACCCACCAGAGGCCTAAAAGCAATGGGTCTGCCTGATCATGGACTAGAACCTCTAAAACTGTGAGCTAAAATAAAATATTTCTATTTTAAGTTGATTGTCTTAGGTATTTGTTATAGTAATGGAAAGCTAATATTCGGCCTATGTATTCATTTACATTTGCACTCATTTTTCCCTCCTTACCTCTCAAATTTCTTTTTTAAAAAGTTTCTTATTTAAGCAAGTCTTCTTATACCTCAGTGCCTTTGCACACACTGTTCTCTCTAAAATGAAAACCTTGTTCTACTGGGTTTGCTCATGCAGCTCCTACTCATCCTTCAAGGGCCATTCCTTCTAGGGACCCTTGCCTGATCTTCTGTCCCCTGTGTGGTCCTCTGGCACAGTGTGTATTTCTCTTTTAAAGCGTACTCCATTATTATACTCTCAATCCTTGTTCATCTTCATAACTCCAGTGTCTAAAAAAGTGCCTATAACGTAGAATGTCCTACATTAACATTGTGGAATAAATTCAGAGAAGATAATTTGGCTCTCCCTGATCTAGGTCTTTCTGGACACATTTGTGACATCTCTTCAAAGAAGCTTTAAATCATGGAACTTTTGAAAGATACTCTGACAGAAAGGTAAATATAAAAAGAAAATGATCCCTCACCACCATTAAGATAATTCTCCATCCCCTGGTCATGACAAATAACTTAAAGAAGAGCATG